TTTTGTGGTATAGAAAAATGCGACTGAAATATAAGAATTATACTGTACCTGAAGAATTTAGAGGCATCTGAAAACAAAAGGCATACTTTAGCAAAATTGAGCCACCAGTAAAGTCTCACTAAAAAAATCAAACAGAATTTTGTCATACTTCCAATTAAATCTATTTAAGTTATTCTCACAGAGCAATCTTATTTCTATCCCTGTCAATTCTGAAGTCCTTCCAATTTCAGTGGGGCAAGTTTGCACATAATAACAAATGATTGCTTTCATAGTTGTAATTAATATTGCAGACTTTGCAATCAAAGTTCATATTCTATGGAGTGAATGGTGGGAGGTAGGTGTCATGAACACATTTAGCTTACCTGTGATATTGTGGTAGAATGATTTTTTTAATAACTGGGTTTACAATACTTCAGTAAAGCATCTCACAAAGTATCCTGTTATATATAAATTAACAATCTAGTAAATATGAGCTGAATGACATGAAAATTATGTAGACCTAAAATTGACTCAAACTGTAGTACAAGAATGTTAATAATGATTCCTTATCTAGCTGGAGAAAACTATCAGTTGTGTGTTACATAGATCAATCCTGGGGTTTATTCTATTCTTCAATATTTTCATTGATGATTTGGGTGAAGAGGCAGTGAGAATGCCTATCAAATCTCAACATGACCCCAAAATTAGATGGAATGGCTAATAGCCTAGACTATCAAAATAAAATTTAAAAAGATTTGGAGAAATGAGTTGAAGGTAAAAGTATCAACTTTAATGGAAACATGTACAAAGTTCTTCACTTAGGAGGAAAAAAAAAAATCAATGATGGGGATATCAGGCTTACTAATAATCCTTGGACAAAAGAACTTGGAATAATTGTTAACTGAAAACTGAAGATCAGCTAGTAGTGGGATTTGGCTACAAAGAAAGCAAATTCAGCAATAATAATAATAATAATAATAATAATAATAATAATAATAATAATAATAGTAAGTTCGAAGGGACCTTGGAGGTTATCTAGTCTAACTCTCTGCTCAGGTAGGAAACCCTATACCATTTCAGTGAAATGGCTGTCCAGTATCTTCTTAAAAACTTTCAGCGTTGGAGCATTCACAGCTTCTGGAGGCATCAATGGAAATACAATTTTCAAATCACCGGAAGAAATACTTCCACTTCATTTTCCTTTGGTCACACCCTGCCTCAAGTACTGTGTTTATTTCTGAACACTACACTTCACAAAAAAGATCTAGAGCAATTGGAACAACAATTGAAGAGCAATGAAAATTAATAGAAACTAAGCCCTATGAGGTGAGATTAAAAGAGATGGGTTTGCTTTACCTTGAGATAAAATGACTATGGGAGAATATTACAGCACTCTTCACATATTTGAAATGATGTCATGTAGAAAAAAGGTCAAGATCTGTTCTCACTTAATCCAGAAAGCACAATATGGGAAAAAAATATTAAGTTATAGAGAGGCAATTCCAACTAAATGTCAGAAAAAAACCAATCTACCTAATAACAGCAATACAACAGTGAAACATCTCCAGAGAGTTGGTGGGTTCTTCTTCACTAGATGTGTTTAAACAAAAGAAAACCCAAAAAGTAATATGGATTTCCTCACCGAAAAATTTCGGATTTGGCAGTCTAAAGAGTCCCTTCTAATTTAATAATTCCATGTTTTTAAGTTAGTAGATAATTATATAATTTAAACTGTAAACTTAAAACCAAGATTTGTTGTATATTTTTGAGGTAACATTGTACCTCTCATTGGTTTAATTGGTGGATTAAAAACAGAGTCTTAGTAGCTACAGTATCTCTTTACAGTGCATATTAATTGCATTAAAATAGCCCTTAATTTGTTAATGCTAATAGTGGCAATATGCTATTATATAAATGCAAGTCATTTCTATACCTAATAATTTAACAAAATGAGAAGTAATCATTCTTTCGATCATCAAAGATGTTTTACATACATCAAATGTAATTCCATTGTTAAGAGACATAACGATAGTGCTGAAATATTTTACTCTCTTCAGGAAATCCTTGCTATGCATACAAATTAATAGAACATGTGGAAAACAGCCCTGTATATAATAATTGTATTAAGAGCATCATTAATGCAAATGATTATTAGGATTTTGAGACAGCTGGACACAGTAGCAATTGCAGAAATGTTGCTGCTACAGACTGCTGGTCACAAATGCTGCTGAAAATGATATAATCAGCAAAAAGATATACAATGTATTATTACTTGGCAACAGTGTTATTGACAGAACAAACTAATATTGGGAATTGAGAAAAGAAATTGTATTGGGGTAAAAGAAATTTTATGTTACCAATGTGTTAAACTAACTGCTATGGGTAGCATGTAACAAAGTAAAAGTACTATAAATACACACTTAATATGCAACTATTTGTATCCGGAAACATAGCATCATCTGCAGAAGCAGCAATCTTTGCATCCAATGTTGAATAATTAGACCATGTTGATAATTTAAGTGGCCATTCTAGCATCCTTTTGTACTTGAAAGGGTGAAAGATCTAGATTAACATATTTTCAAGGGATGTCAGCCAATTTTACTTGAGCAGCTGCCTGAGCTGCTTTTAAATCAATCTATCAATTAATTAATGGATTAAAGTTCATTTTAAGCAGGTCAATACCAATGATACTTGATAGCTTTGCTTTATATGTTGTGCAACTCACCAGCTACTGTTTTTACAGTATACCATTTCCATTCATGCCAAAGGATAAGGCCACCCAAAAAACGATGCCGTTGACTGGTGGGCTGGCCGCCGCCCAAGTGGAACCCCCCCACTTGGCAGGATAACCTCATACGTGTTAGAGAAATATTGTGCAATCATTCCTCAAAAGTAAGTCTAATTGTTTTAGAATAATTTATTCTAAAAATTATTGTATTAGGATTGTAGTCAGCAGAACAGGTCAATGGAGATAGAGTATCAGCCTTAGAAACAATTATGAATTTACTAATTGGAAGTTATATGCTATACCAGTGGTCCCCAACCTTTACACGAGTGGCAGGCCAGCACGCATATGCGTGAATGCCCACCAGCACGCCACTTGTGCAAATTGAGCTGCAGCACACACACACATACGGTCCGGCCAGCCACTCGCGCAGCCCAATTCTGAATAAGCCATGGCCCATTGGCCTAGGGCAGGGGTAGGCAACCTCGGCTCTTTTATGACTCATGGACTTCAACTCCCAGAATTCCTGAGTCAGCTATGCTGACTCAAGAATTCTGGGAGTTGAAGTCCATGAGTCATAAAAGAGCCGAGGTTGCCTACCCCTGGCCTAGGGGTTGGGGACCCGTGTTATACTGAAAATTCTACTTAATAAACAAATGCAGGAGCCATGACATAAATTTACCCTGTAAAAGATGTACACTAATAATTTATAATAATGACGAACCCTGAAAAATGTGATAGCGTTAGAACAAATTCTGATTTTAAATGTAGAAAGTAAAAAAAGAAGACATTTTTATATTGTTTTTATCTTTCCATATAATCGCAGAATGCAGACATTTGTCTTACTGACCCAGATATTTCTCTCTAATCCAGCAAAGAAACCCATTATGCAAAAGTAGGTTGGATCAGTCTTTTGAATGAAGATCCCTTTATGCATATATTAACAGCTTATCTTGAGCTGAGTAGACTTACATGCATGTCTTATCACATATGGTGCTTGGACTGTACCTGTCTATAGAGCCTGGTGTTCTGTGAGTTTGATAATTTACTCATGTACCTAATTTTTTACTCAGTTTTGTGCACATTGCATAATAAATGACAATAGACATGGGATAATTTATGGTTGTGTGGTTGTTGTGTGGTAGTTGCTAAAAACTTTTGAAAGTTGGGTGGCATTAAATTGAATAAAGTAAATAAATACCCCCCCATCGATAGTTTTAATGGCAAAACTAATTGGTTCTTCTTTTTCTTATTCACACCATAAGGTCCTTCCTTCTTTCCTTCCTTCCTTCCATTTTCTTCTTCTTCTTCTTCTTCTTCTTCTTCTTCTTCTTCTTCTTCTTCTTCTTCTTCTTCTTCTTCTTCTTCTTCTTCTTCTTCTTCTTCTTCTTCTTCTTCTTCTTCTTCTTCCTCTTCCTCTTCCTCTTCCTCTTTCTTACACCTCTAAATAACCTTGCTTGCCCCAGAAGGGAATAGCAAGGTGGTATGTTTTAGAAAACTCAACCCCTTACTCCAAGGAGTTCTTTTTTATTATTTGAAGGCATTTTTTTCTCTTTTCACATGTCTTTGTATAAGAGAGAAAACCGGGAGAGGCAGCTTCCGTCCCTGGTTTACAATGCTCCGTGTCAGCTACCCTGGTCCTGGATGGAGGCTGTCGAAAAGAAGCTGCGAATTGCCCGTCTCTCTTTTCCAGAGGGTCCTCTGTGCCATAAGAGCTGCAGCAGGAGGCGGAAGGGAAATCCAGTCCGCGTTTTCCACACGTACCAGGGTAATCAGAGAGAAGTGGATAATAATTGTTAGAACTCGTTCTCCTCGCCTCTCCCTCTCCCCCGCTCTCTCTCCCCAGCCATGCTGGGCCTGATAGGCTCAGCCAGACGTGTATTTACCCATATCCGGGCTAGAGAGGAAAAGAAAAAACTTTCATTTAGACTAAAAAAAAAAAAAAAAAAAAAACTTTCACCGTGAAATCACACAGCAGAAACAGGCATAGACCGTAAGGCGTTCTTCAATTTCTAATCTCCATCAAGGATTTTGGGAGGAGACTTTTCTGTCATTTTTCCAAAAAAAGAAAAAAAAAAAAAAAAAAAAGCCCGTGCTGTCTGCGTGTGAGCGCGCGCACGCGCGCCTTCAATAATCATATGGGCTTTTTTTTTGTTTTTTCATCAAATCTGTTTTCCTGTCCTTTAGGGTCAGTTTGAGTTTTCTTGCTCCTATCAATTCCCCACCCTTTATTTATTTTGCCCGTTTTTCTACGGGGGGGGGAGGAAGGGAGGGAGATAATTGAGTCTCCTCGATCATGGCCGCGCAAGTAGCAGCGGCTCCGATGAGTGCGAGCAAGAGCAAGGTCAAAACCCAGAGTTTGACGGGTAACTTAAACCAGGATCTTAACTCTGGGGTTCCCGCGGCTGGCACCGTCGGAGCTGCTGGATCTGGCTCCCTCCTGGGGGTCGTAGATGGGACGAGCAGCAGATTGAATAATGTAGATTACCATCTTCTCCACCAAGATAATGAAGTGAACATGGCCAGTAATGCAACTTCTGCCGCCGCCGCCGCCGCGGCTCCTAACAACGCGACCAGCAGCGGCCGCAGCTCTTCCTCGGAACTGGTTCTGAAAGACCCTGGAAGCGCGTCGGGCTTATCTTCCTCTTCTTTTCCTATGGCGACAGGGCTGCTTCCCAATCATAAGTTGCAAAGCGTTGGAGGCGATCCCTCTACCGCCGCACCTTCACACCACCCCCGTGCCCAGCACCAGCACCCAGCTCACCTCCGTGCCCAGCACCCCCACGTTCGCCACTACCACCACCACCACCACCACCATGCACTTCAACACCAACAGCTAAATCAATTCCAGCCACAGCCGCCGCCTCAGCACCATCCGATGCAGAATAACAACAACGGCGGCGGCGGCGGCGGCAGCAGCAGCAACAACAACGGCGGCGGCGCTGCTCAGCCCAGCAGCGCAGACATGGAACAGCAGCAGCAGCAGCAGCAGCAGCAACATGGAGGAAAAGACCGTGGCTTGGGGGGACAGGCCGAGCCCCAGAACCAGCCGCAGTCCCAGCCCCTGCTGAATCAAGGCGGGGACGAGGAAGAGGCGACGCCGCCGCCGGACAAAATGGGCGAGCAGCACCTCAACAGTCGCTACGACCACCCTAGTTTGGGACCTTTGGGCGGGCAGCAGCCGCCGCCGCCGCCGCCTCCACCGCTACCACCACCGCCACCACCTCAGGGAGCGGGCGGCGGCGGCACTGGAGGAGGAGACGGCCGCGGCGGCGGCCCCTCAGCGGTGGGTGTCTCGGAGTTTAATAGCTATTACGGCAACGCTGGCAGCGGCAGCAGCGGCGGCGCCTCCTCAGCGAGCCGGGCCGGGCCTTGCTTTGATCAACATGGCGGACAACAAAGCCCCGGGATGGGGCTAATGCACCCCGCGGCGGCCCCCAACATCATGGACCCCCTGCCCAACTCGCACGAAGGCTACGCCAACAGCCAGTACAACCACTACTCGGGCGCTTACGGCCGGCCTGGCGGCGGCACTAACGCAACAGCAGGAGCCGTGGCGGCGGCGGCGGCTGCAGGAGGAGGAGGAGGAGGCGGCGGCGGCGGCGTCTATGGGGGCTCGTCCTCTGCTTTCGGGGTGCTGAGTTCCCCCAGGCAGCACCAGCAGGGCATGATGCTGGGCCCTGGCGGCGGCGGGAGCCTGGGGAAGGTATCTGGGGCTGCGGGCTTCCAAAGATTCTCCGGGCAAAACCAACACCCGTCTGGAGCCACCCCAACCTTGAACCAGCTGCTGACTTCCCCCAGCCCCATGATGAGGAGCTATGGCACAGGCTACCCCGAATATAGTAGTCCCAGCGTTGCCCCATCGCAGCAGCCGGCTCAGGGAGCAGCCGCCGCAGCCGCCCCAGGAAGTCAGCAGGCAGTCATGGGCAAGGATATGGGCTCCCAGTATGGAGCTGCAAACCCAGTCTGGGCAGCTGCACAACAAAGAAATCACCCTGCTATGAGCCCTGGAAGCACTGGACAGACCCTCAGCAGGAGCCAGGTAATCATAAGAACCCCAAAGAGCAAACCGTGTGTGGTTTTAACTTCGTGTATTATGTGTCCGATGCAACCCTTACTTTCTGCTTTACTTTTCCCCTACTCCATCTCCACTGCTTGCTGCCTCCCTAACAGGATTGGATAATGCACAATGTCTGACTCTGATTAGGTTAGAGAGGCATCACAGGGGGAATGACTTTTTCTTCGAAAAAATAAGACCATTTTTATGAGACGGCTGAACAATACAAGAGACCCACTCTCTACCCCACCCAGTGTTCTTACTCTAGACTTATTAGAAATCTGAACACACAAGGCCCGGAGGAAAACCACTTTGGAGTGAGAAAGGGAGGGACCAGTGTCATTTTATTGGCTGTGCCAGTTATCATGCTGTCTTTCTTATCCTGTCCTGATTATTTCAGAAAAAGACCTTTAAAGTTATTAACACATTGCTTTGCTTGGATGCAGTTGTATTCTAAAACCCAGCAGAAACAGGTTAAGTAGCTTGTATAAGTGCCCTAGCACTGATAATTTTCAAGGCTCACATTGTTCTTTGGATGACCTTTTCTTTTTGCATGTTTCTCCTGCCTTTCCAGTCTCTATACGCTCAGTTCGAAAGCATTTAGAGGAAAATAATTAAAAATCCCTTGTATTATAAGTGAAAAGAGCTCTTTTTCTTAACTTAAAAAAGCCTGAGTGCTGCAAGAGATCCTCAGTCAGGGAGTTTTGGAGATTGTACATCTTTTCTGATTACGTGTGTCTTCTGGGTTGCTAAATTAATAGGTATCAAGTGGTGATTGAACAATGCTTGCTTAGCTTTCCTTTTTAGCATCTTTAAAACGGTAGGAAATAACTCCCGTGCCCTTGGTATTTCTTATTCTGCTGCCTGAGCCTAAAGAGTGACTTGATCTCCTTTGCGAGGTTTGGAATTTGAATTGTGGAGGTAAACTGGCTGTAATAGTCTCCAGACAGCTGCCTCTGAGTTGACATCTAATCTGCCATCTGATTGGCTCCCCTTTCTCCATTGGGCATTTAGCATTGCTGATGTAAATAGAATTGCTGAGCAGTACAGTCACAAAAATTCTTGCCACAAATAATAACTGAGCACTTTTGCTCACAGATGCAAGGTTACATGTTCTTAGAAGAAGCTGAAATAATTGGCAGTCATCGATAGATAGCTGAGGTTAAGTGGGATTTAGCACACCACTAGCTATTATATTAAACATTGGTGATGGTAATAAACATTCAGTCTTTTTAGAAAGGGGGATTAATTCCCTTCTTCACTTTGTTTTACATTTATGTTTAGCTTTTTTTTGCTAATCGTTTTGGGAAATTTCCTTTGGATGGCATGAATAAATATGTTAAGTTTTAAATCATTGGGACTGTTAACAAACAAAATTGTAGCAAATTACTTGTGATTTTTTTTTCTGTGCTGTGCCGCATTTATTAGATCTGTATTTGTGGGACTGAATTCTTAGTATTGATCTTTTATAGAATTTCATATTACCTTAGCATTAGATTTTTTGGGGGGGTTCATATTAATTTTATCATACACTAGATACTATTGTATCATTCACGCTCTTAGATATGTAGCTATTAGATAACTTATGAATATTGCTTAATGTCTGTTGGTTTTGTTTGCTTCTAAATTACATTCAACATTCAGAAAACTATTTTTTAAAAAATACTGTTTTGTATATATACTTTATTGATTGGAAACAGAAATTACTGTGCTTCATTTTATTCTTTGATTTAAAAGATAAAATTTAAAAGATAAAACCTTGCAATAAAATAAACAATTTTTTTTAAAGAGTGATATATTTTAGTATTACTAGGGACTTTTTTTCCTTACTAAGACAATGCTATTATCAATACTAAATCTTTGAATCTGTTTTGAGGAACAGGAATAAGAAAAATAGATTTTCATATATAGTATTTGGAGATTCCAAATGGCTCAGTTTCAAAATAAAATTTAAATGATTGTGTTCTGGAATAGAAAGTGACTGCAGTAGTGAGTGATGGGCTAATCAGAAAAACAATTTGAATTTTGGATAGACTGAAAACATATTTGTCTTATTGTCTACATGCTGTTGGTTTAATATTTTAGTATCTTCTTTTTCCCTTCCTTTATGAGGATATAAAAATTCAGAGAGAACTCTTTTTTCTTCCAATTTTCTGAGATTAATAAAAACATTAGCCAAATGTGTGTATATATAATCTCATTTCAGTTTAAAATATTTGCTTTGTTTTCTGTGCTGTAAAGAAGAGATTATTCTAGCATGTAGTTTTAATATGTTGAAAAGATAAACTGGATTTTATATGATTTCTTCATGGGAAAATTGTTGTAAGTTTTCAGTTTTAGCTAAAAAGAGATCAGAATCATAATGACCTTATCATGACCCTTGGACATAGATTTTACACTTAACTGGTGCATATCCTGCTTATGGGGGCAAATACTTGTTCACCACCGTCATTTTGTGGATGCAATTTATAAAATGAAGCCTGACAAGTTTTTTTTTTCTTTGACATATGAGCGTTTGGTACTAATGTTCATAATGAATATCATTCATTAGTAATGTTTTTGTTCCTTTTGTATTACAATTCAAATTATTTAGTAATAGACTTCAAAATGGCATATCTATTATCAAAATAGATATAATATTTTTATTTTATGAAGATATTTTTCTCTGGATCAGATTCTTAAAATTATAGCTATATACTTCTGTTGTATTCTTGTGGGCAAAAGTCCTGTACATTTGAAATGTGTGGAATAAAATGGTTACCAGAACACACATGTGAGGTGTATCTATTTATAAATGACCATGAGTGTACAAATAAATGTATAAATATACCTGTACACATGTGCACAGTGTAATGCTCAGTCCAGATATACAGTAACCATCTTAATCTTCTCTGTAAAATAAAGAAAATAGAAATCAGAGCACTATCTGGATGTTTGATGTCATTATTGCTTATTGGTATCTTTATTTTCAATATGTAAGAGTTGAATTCTGTTCTGAGCAAAATACTCCATCCCATTTGTTTAATAAAACAAATTATTTTAGTCATAGCCCTTCCCAATTGTAAAAAGATTACCAAATGTAACACTAAGATGAAAATCTCATGAAGCCTAGGGAGAGTATTCAAGCTCTAGCTTTGCAGCATTCATGCAGTTACAAATAAGATCAAAAGTAGTACGATAAGGACAGAAGTACGTAAGGGTCTCAGACTTAATTTGATTATTTACTAGTTTTTGATTATGCAGGCTAAAGATTACAGGTTACTTTTAAGAAATACTTCACATTTCAGATGTCATATGTTAGGTTATCACATATGTTATAGATTAAAAGATAAAGTATAATGGTTGTTACTTATCTTTTTCTTTTTCAGCTCTTGACTTCAGTAGATAATAGTTAATTAGAAAAAAATCAGGTAGTTCATTTTTTTTAAAGTCACACCCCTTGTTATGGGAATAAGTTATCCATAAATGAGTCCCCCTTTTCTCTTTTTTCAAATGAGCTGTAATTCATTGTTTTGAATGTAATGTGAAACTGCAGGATCTCACCTAGACACTGATGAATATCAGCTCTATAGCTATAGATTATTACTATTAATATGAGAAAATAATGCTTTTTATATTATATGTTGAGTACTAGTTTCTGATTAAAATTCTCAATTATGAATTCTGTGGTAATGGAGCAATATAATTAATAGCTTCTTTGTTACAATTGTAACTATTAATAGTGAGGACATCGGTGCATATTATTGATTTCTGAAATATTAAGGATGCTGGAATATTGAATTCTCAATTGAAATGTACATTCAACTTTGCTTGAGGTAACTATTGAGCTAAATAGTCAGTTTTATAGACTTTTCCACCATGTACTCTCTAAGAAGCAAGCTTATGCTTTCCTAACACATAAAATATAAATGCAGTTGTAGTAGGTCAATCAGTAGATCAAACTACCCATAATATGTATAAATTCTTCATTAAAAGAGTAGGCCTCTCTCCTGGCATTGTTGTACAAAGTGGTAGGATTTGTAGTTTGCTGCTCATGATTTGACCATCCACATGAGTTGAATCTTAACTTGCACCTTTAAAATGAATGTTTGCACTAATATTTTTTGCATATAAGCATGCTATTGGAGCAGCATGCATATCTATTTCCTCTTGTTCCAAATGCAAACTTTTTATTATTCCAGTAGGCATGATCAAATTTAGAAAGGAAGTTCAAGTAAACACATTTATTTTCAATTTGGTAAATGCTTATAAATCGATTACCTTATAAGAAATAAATAAATCCAAACCACTACGCAAACTGCTGTATCTTCCATATTGCTAGAAATGGAAAAGCTATATTTGTGTGTTTGGGGAAAAGGCAGCATATAAAACGGGCATCATCATATTTTGGACTCTTAGGTTAATTATGCTTACTCAGCATATTAAATCTAGGCTGATTGACCTGAAATGTTCACATACTGCATGTTATGAAGTAATGTCATTTATATTGTCATTCATATAATTGCCCTCAAGCTTGCTAAGGCTCCAGTAGGGCATTACATTTCAATACAGCTTTGAAAGTTGCTGTCATCTGTCCTATGATGCTTAATATATTTCTCATAAATAAATGCTTACTTTCAGTCTTGATGATCTGTGTCATTTATTAACAGAAATGTGAGGGGGAAAGGGTAATGTTTTTATGAACTCATGAAAGGTAATCATGGAATTGATTTCTCCTTTAATAGTTAAAGACCGTTTGCACATTCTAGCCTGATCCAAAACTCTGCTTCCCTTATTAAGATTTTAAGTTAGAAGTACTGTCACAAGCCGTTCCTTCGGGATTACACACATGCTTGGTTCACAAAAAAAAAAGCATGGATGTGTTAAAGTTTCTACTTTCCTGAAGCATTCATTTGCCAAGACAAAAGAGCTTAGGATGGCATATTCCATGAGTTGTATCATGCAGACCATCATAAAGCATGACACTGCATTAACATCTCAAGTCA